ACAAGAAAAGCAGCATCAACAAGGACAAACACCGTAGCAGTAGTATCACTGTTAAATACAGTTGACAAAATTGATACCAGAACCATAGACTCACCGACGTAAGTCAATTTGGGCATGTAAATCCAATGCTATATGCATTTGTAGATGTTCGTTAGTGTTTAAACAGTCAGAAAACGGCAACTTGTTAGTTATAGGTTTTAGTAGCCGACACGATTATATCCACGGGTCCAGTGCTCAGTGGTAAGTGAATTAAAACAGATTGTAATTCCTGGCCAGAACACCAGAGAAATGAGAATTTCATGTAACTAAGCAAATGTAGCACACTAATCGGAAAGCGCGTCCAGGTCGTGGATCCTCCAGGTTTTACCAGGTAGGAATTCCTCGGTCTTGCCAAGAATGGCCATCTCAATTCCCATAAATTTCCGATTTCTTGAGCAGTTTTGAGTGATGCATTTTCGCGAATTCCTAGCCTAAATCTATGGGAAAAGCGTCGATGGGTTCTCTCTTATCTCTAGGCTTGACACAGCTTTCTCTTGCTGGCAGACCATGTTTATCGGAAACCGGTGGTTTTCCGGAAAACCGTGATGCGTCGGACAAAAAGTTTCACCATATGTGCTATCATATCTTACTTGACTATTCTTTCCAATATACTTGATCAAGGTGCTAGTAACAGCAACAGGCCTGTAGTTTTTAAGTAATTTGTGCGAACCCTTCTTCGTAAATAGGGGTTGCTTTTGCATATCTTGCGTCACGCTGTTGGATTGAGTGTGATGCGAATAGCCTCAGTTTAGCAGCCAGTGGACTGGTTAGGCGATCTGCCAGCTCCATAAGACGTATTGTGTGAAGGTCACTGGGCCTCGTTGGTTCCCTTTAGTCCAGCCTGTGTACGCATATGAACACCAGATTTTGACTCACTTCAACAGAGCCAGTCTGGTTTCGTTTTGGCGCGGTCAGAGCTACACTACTGGTGGCTTTTACTCCTATGCGAAGACTATGGGGTAGTAATCTGTCACTGCTTAGGCTTTCCCCTGACTCTCCTCAGTCTTGCCAGCAGTGAGGTCAGGGACTGAGTGAGACGCCCTATTTCTGATCTCCATGTTCGAAAATAGTTTTTCTCGTCGTACAATTGCTTTTAGAGGTAAGTGTATTTCAGATTTCATCTACGATTGGCGAATTCCTGCTGTAACTTTGTCTCTCGCCCAAGTCTACAGCCTCCACTAACTTTATTACGCTATATTCGCGTCGGTGCTTGAGTGCACTCAGTGTTCCTCAATTATCTTCTCTCATTTTAGGCGATCTAAGGCATGCTTCTTTAGGGGGCTGGTATCGACGTTCGCGAGTTGTACGGATTATACTAACGCAAGATCTTATACCAACAACCACTATAGTGTTCGTTCTTCGAGTACCAAATGGTAAAGCAAAAGACCAGATTTTGTCGTCCAAATACGATATATATTTTGGGACCAAATCGCGGGTAGGAATGAATGCTTAGCTAGCTAGTAATCGTGCACGCACGTGACACGACGAAGCACCAAATGGCCGGGGATGCTTGACCGTAAGCCTTCAGCTAAACAAGTCGACTTAAACAGTGATGGTCAGCATCCAATGTTGAGTGATGATTGCTGTGGTTAATAATTTTGGGGAATTATTTACCGCTACAGCTCACTCCCCCCCTAGTGGGGTTGTGAGGACCCTAAGACATGACCAGCCGGAAGTGAAAAAATCTCGATGGTTCCCTGATGGGTGAAAAAAATCTTCCGAGCGGCTTGATCGAGAGCCTGCTGGTCTGTCTGCCTATGCTAATAGGGTGTCTGTACATAGCTTCCTCAGTGTTGTTCGTTGGATCCCGTGCTTCGTTTGTTTCCTGTCCAGTGCCCGTTGCACCTGGAAAAGAAAACAAGAATGCTGAGAACCTTGTCAAGAAAAATGTACCAAATAAGCGTTTTTTTACCAAAAAAAATGACATGCATCTACTATACAGTAAAATAATGTAAAGTTCAAAATATCGGGAAAAAAATATACATCTTATATAATTTTATGTACGGTTATAGGAAAAATATCATTTACTTGTGTTAAATGACGCAACATAAAAAAAATTGATGTGTCACTCAGTTATGTGAAATAGGTGTGAAGGTATTCTGGGAATCTAACGTGACGTCCAGAACGCGTTTTTTTAGAGTGATCGACCGAAGTAGCCAGTGGGCGAATGCCCTGACAGTCAATAGTGTGACCCAGAAAATCGAGTGAGTCAACGCCTATCTGACACTTCTGTATATTGATGGTAACACCATGTTGGCGTAACCTTTCAAATGCCAAGTCCAAGGTGAGTTTCCTTATCTGGACTGGCAATGAGGCAGTCGTCTAAGTATGCGTATACAAAGTCGAGACCGCGAAATACTTCATCGATGAAGCGTTGGAATGTTTGGGCCGCATTCCGGAGGCCGAATGGCATATGTAGAAATTCGAAAAGTCCGAAAGGCGTGATGATAGCCGTTTTCGGAATATCTTCCGTTGCCATCGGGATTTGGTTATATGCTTTAACCAAGTCGATTTTGGAGAATATAGATGCTCCAGATAATGTTGCCGTCAAGTCGTGTATGTGAGGCAAAGGGTAGCAATCAGGGGTTGTTTTGGCGTTCACTCGCCGGTAATCACCAGTGGGTCGCCAATCGTTGCTATCCTTTTTCGGTACCATATGCAATGGGGATGCCCATGGACTATTCGATGGCCGAATGATGCCAAGGGTGAGCATATGATCGAATTCGTTTCTGGCAATTCTCAGTTTATCGGGGGCCAGTCGTCGTGCTTTAGATGTCACGGGCTGTCCTGAGGTTATGATGTGGTGCATAACATTGCTGGTTATACACGGGAGATCGTTAGATGGGCAATTCAGTTCCGGATATTTGTCAACAATCGGTTGAAAAGTTGGATCGAGGATTGCTTTCATCTTAACGATTGACAAGCTGGGGCCTACGTAAGTTATGCCTTTGATAGACAAACTAGTAGTGTTGTCAATTAGTCGTTTACGGCGGACGTCTACGAGCAAATCATGATGATTAAGTAGGTCCGTGCCAATGATGGGCATTGTGACGTTAGCGATTAGGAAAATCCACTGAATAGGTTTGCGTAAACCTACGTTCAGATAGACGTATTTCCGACCATAGGTTGCAATTGGTTTTCCATTTGCAGCCTGTAGGTTGAAGTTAGGATCTTTCTGTCGATCTGCTGCTGTAGCAGGAAGGACGCTGACTTCGGCGCCTGTGTCGACTAGATATCTAGTCTGGCTAATTACATCATGGATGTAAAGTAAGCGGCTAGTGCCACCGGCGACGGTTGCCGCTAACGCGTGCCGGCGGGATAGTTTCCCACAGACTTGGAGGCTTTGCCGAAATCACAAGGTTTTCGACAACATTTCGCTTCCCTGCCATAGGTGTTGTGATACCAACACCAGTCAGGATTTTTGAGAGAGCGTGTGTTGGACTTAGATCGTCCACGTGCGCTTTGCCGTTGAGGGGATCTAGAACGACGGTTTGAGGAATTACTAGGCTTGTTTGACCTAAACATCTGCTGGACGGAGTTGATTAACTCTATCATTGCAGAATCCTTCTTCGAAGTCTGTTCGGTAACAGAGTATACTTCGGTAACTGGCCGTTTCGTTATCTCTAGAATTCTATCTGCAGAGACAGCTAAATCATCTATGAGAACACCCTGAAGTGTCACAAGTACAGTCTGAACTGACTGTGGCAGTTTGGATAAAAATAGTTCTCTAAACAGTCCTTCATCGAACTGACTTTGACCAATGATCTCTTTCATTCTTGCCAGCATGCTCACGGCTGACTGATCTCCTAACTCGATGTTACGAAATAACTCATCCAGACGTTGTCGATCTGTGAGAACGTTTCTCTTGAGGATGGATGATTTGAGCAACTCGTACGAGTTACTTACCGACATCTGCAGAGTTACGCACTTGCTGAATTCCCGCGGTAGGGCGTGAATAACTGCAAGGAACTGTGAACGTTGATCAGTTATGCCATGTTCACAGAAATCGGACTCAGCAATCTGAAACCACGTTTCAGCATTATCTGGCCAAAATGGTACTAGCTGGATTGTTTTGGCGGTTGAGCGAATCTGAATAACCTTGGGGCTAGGATCACTCATGACGAAAAGTATGCCGATGACAATATAGTACAAGAATAAACACAAAAAGGAACGAACTCACCGGGTTTATCTGCGTGTGAATTGAAGATGTAGTTCGTGGTCGGGCTCACCAGTTTAGTGACTGCGGGTATCGACGTTCGTCGGGCTCACCAGTTTAGAGGGCTGTAGGTATCGACGTTCGCGAGTTGTACGGATTATACTAACGCAAGATCTTATACCAACAACCACTATAGTGTTCGTTCTTCGAGTACCAAATGGTAAAGCAAAAGACCAGATTTTGTCGTCCAAATACGATATATATTTTGGGACCAAATCGCGGGTAGGAATGAATGCTTAGCTAGCTAGTAATCGTGCACGCACGTGACACGACGAAGCACCAAATGGCCGGGGATGCTTGACCGTAAGCCTTCAGCTAAACAAGTCGACTTAAACAGTGATGGTCAGCATCCAATGTTGAGTGATGATTGCTGTGGTTAATAATTTTGGGGAATTATTTACCGCTACACTTCTTATGTGGGATTTGACACTATATTGACATTAAGATCAACAGCTGGAATTTTAGTGCTTTTTGTTGCAGTTACTTCCAGCCGTGATGACCCCGAAATTCTCTGAGAACGGTATTTTGTTGTGTCTCTCGTATTCTTTCTCCTACTTGTTCTTATGGGGTGTTTATGTAAATGCCATCATACAGGCCAATTTATACTTTCGTTTTTTTAAATATTTTTGACTACAACCCGGATGAATTTTTAGATTTCACTGTTAAACTCTAGGGATGAGGTGAATTTTCACCGCTTAGATCGTACTTACTTTGGATATTTGAGTGTTTGTGGTTTAAATATCCACGAATGGCGGAGCGGTTTATCTGAATTGCCTTTTTCAATGTCTTTTTGTTTGCATGTTATGGGCAATTAAGTAAGGTTAGTTCCACTTGCTTAATTTTAATATAACTCTTTCGTAAAATTCCCAATTCATTTGGATATTTGACACTCGTTTTTTTATTTGCATGGGCACTTTTGCTGCTTAAAGTTGACGTGAGTTACCGTCTGCACTCAATGTAGGATTGGTATAGGCTCCATACTTCCAACTAATATAAGCTCATATCATTGTAAGTCATAGTATTCTTCACATCTGGTGGACGCAGGTGTGTTAGAGAACACCTGGTAGTAGTCTTGTCGTAAAGACATGATTCACGCTAAAATGTTTCAGTAGTACTTATTTTTCATTATTTACTCTTGGTGGTGCGCGAGCATATAACTTACTCTGTATATATTTAAGGTATTGTTACGTGTTTTATATCTAACTATGATGCTACAGCAAGTTCCTTGTCTCGATAATGACCTAACTCCACTCAACTGAAAAATGACAAGCGTCAATTTCATGGCTGATTAGACCAAATTACTCTAACCGGAAGTAAGTGGGTGTACATGTTGGTGTGATCGCTACACCTGCTATTCATGAAAAGTAGAGTGTAATCGAAGAAATTGTCATGTTGCAACATGAAGTTAGGGTCATAAGAACACTGTTTGATGTCTCATTGACTCCTGCTATGTCCTTCTCCAATTTTTTAACATATATATTACCTAACTGAACGTATACAACGCCCGGTTCGTTAGTATTAATTAGTATTGTGGTAGGTCTTGATTGATATGTTTCTTGAATTATAGAATATCTGTCAAGCTTCCTAAACGATATTGTACGATAGATACATCTTAACAGTCTAAATATAAGCATATCAGATTATGGGCCAATTACTGGAAGCTACTACCTAGTTAGATAGATTTTTTAAATGTAATAGTGTATTTTGTTTTTGAAGTTTGTTATCCAAGCCTTTGAAACAAAGCTACGGAAATGTAAATGACTGAGTAAAGGTTAGTCTCGGAAATCTTGAGTACTTATGGGAGTGTGTTGAAGGTTATTACTTCCCAGCTGCTCATAACGTGGAAGTTGATTTCTTCTTGAAAAACTTGAACCAGAAAGAGCACTGGATCTGCGTGGGCTCAGCCTAGAAGGCGACTGTTTGAGACTGTTCCCACAATGCCTGTTTTCTTAGTAGTCTTTGGAATAATTTCCATATGACGATCTTACTGCTGACTATGAATTACCTCAAAATAAGTCAAGATTTCCAATTTTCGGGGTTGACATTTTCTAACCTCACCTCCCCGCAGCTAAAAGGCAGTATAGTTGACTTGTTGGTCATCCGAGGGAAACACCTTATGACTGTTACATCACTATTAACCATCAGTACGACTTTCGCCTAGGACCTCCACCATAGTTACACTGTGGTGATAACTGCTGTTGTCAAAGCAAACTTTCTGGCATGGTAGGAGCTGAAAAATGTTCGTTATAGTCAGTGTAGTTGTTTTGGTTCATTGTGATGTGGAAGCTCGACCACCACATCGTGGTAGCAGTCATCTATCGTGCAGAAATTCAGTAGCTAAATGAATCGTGACTGCACAGTCGTTTTTGGGAAGTCTAGAATAATTACGGATAATAAGTTTCAAACAAGTCTATCTACTTCAAAGCATTGGGTTTTAGGTATAAATGACCTGTTTACTCGAAGAACTGTTCCTCTGCAGTCGTAGTTAGTGTTTCGCGACGTCATTTCCTGCTCCTTTACTATCCATGTTTATCATGTTTTAGGAGTTATTTAACTTTCTCAGTTCTCTATCAAGGTGAGAGTACAAGTGCTACCACTATCGGAAATCATTTGCAAGAGGTGATTAATTATTGGGTGAAGCCGTGTAGACTGGTTTTTGATTGCCAGACTCCAGGAGGAAGAATATAGTTTAGGTCCACAATCAGTCGTTAGAATTATTCATATTGACGCTATCACTTGATAGCACGCTAGGCGATGATGCCTGTTACACGAAGCAACTGGTTATTAGGTTAGTGTTTATGGGAGTCGGACTGATTATGCTGTACAATACCAGAGGGAAATTAAAAAGCAGTACAAAACCTGATTAACACGTAAAAGATTCTCAACACTTAATCTAGTCTATTGAACAATAACCACTAAGAAAATTAGTTATAAAAACCCTTCTATAAGAAACTGCATCTTCATCCTACACTCAATTCTATCTATTATCACAACTTAGAATACTAACTAATCTTTCGTGGTACTTAGCAGTTATCTGCACGTTTGCGAGTTGAGGGATCTATTTTTCAATTTCACCAGGTTGGTATATCTGGCCCAGTAATCTAAGATGTAAATTTAATCAATGTGCTCCCGTTCAAGCTTCAAACCCGCCTAGTTTCCTTGGATTTATATTATCCTGATCGATACAGCTCATTGGCTTAGGCACTTGACTTTCAGCCAGCGGGTCCTGGGTCCAAACCCCACCCACCTACTTCGTTCTAAGCTACTAGATGATGTCATCATTCCTTTCAGAACAAGTGTCGCTTGTGGTTTGATGCATGAAAAAATTGTTCTGACTGATTTAGCTCTGACTTTTCCTGAGATACATTTGCCTTATTATGACAATGGATCCAACAGTCTCTAATATTGTATTGTACATTTTTCTGCATTGATTAGAGGTTGGTGTAAGGAAAGGCAAGAAAATAAACTGCCAGAAAGCATGAAATGCTATAAGAAAAAGACCCTATTGAAGAACTACAGTTTCAATGAGATAAAAATAACGTCTGAATTCGTCTGCTCCACTAGAAGTGATTCTGAGTTGTCATCTAGAATCTGAAACTTTAGGCTTTGGTTGTTACATGTAATTTCAACCAAGTAGTTGTCGTAATCTTTACTTGACCACATAGTTCATGCTGACATTTAATGATGCTCAATGGACGTGGTACCACATCTTGGTTTTATCACTCTTCCCTTGATCCCCACTTAATCCTACTTTTTCCAACATATTTTTTTATAAGCTCAGTTACTAGGGAAAGATTTTCCATGTAGCAGACTATGAGCCACCTACCGAGTGAGGGTTGGTGATACTATCCAGTTGTCCAGGTTAAAGTAGTTGGTATGGGACTGGTAAACAGTGCAGTTTTATGACTTTTTGGGTTGGATTTCACTTGCTACCTGTAAATCCATGTTTAACTTGTGAAGTTACCTCATTAGTTTAGGTGTTTCACTGCTATCCACTTGATAATGAGTTTTATGGAGTCAAGTAGTATCACTAGCCCTTACACAGGCGCAGATCATTGCTAACTACATATAAATGCAAGTATTTGTTGACTAACATTACACTTTACTAATAACTTCAGCATTTTTCGTCAAACAAAGGCAACTGGGGTTCAATATTTGTGACCATTAAACACCTACCTTCGAAGTACATATTTCACTGACGTTACAAAGTAGTAAAAAGGTACATAGATGCGGCATATTTAATTCATTTGTGTGGTTCCAGTGTCTCGTCTTCTCTGTAGGTTAGCACTTTGTGTTCATTTTGAGATGTCATCAACCACTAATTCATCAGGGCTGATATGCGATGTCTTAACTAATCAGTATAGGTGCCTATCACTTAAATGGTAAACTACAGGCGGAGGATGAAGAACATCTGAAATATGCACAAATTACCAATCAAAATGTTCAGAGAACTGCATTTTGATCTCTTTATTATCCAGTGGGACTATGTTATTATTATTCCCTTGAGTTCCCACTCGAGCATAGGGCTTCAGCAGCACATCTCCAATTCTCTGTGTTCTCTGCAGTCCTTTTTACCTGGCTCCACGATTGCCCATAAGCTTTCATTGCTTCCCCATATGATCTCCCAAGGGCGTGGCGTGTGATGACACTCAACGGTCACCTCGGCGTATGTCCAATCCATCTCCATGTCCTTTGGTATCTTTGTTGGGTGAAAAGATTTTGGTTGGTTTGTTTCTAGAGTTCTTTGTTGCTAGTCCTTTCTGGCTATCTGTTCTTCAGTATCGAGTCGGTGAGGTTAACTGTTGGTAAAATTCCGCAGCCGGCTGTTGAAAATGATTTTAGCGACGCTCTAAGCCTCTGAATTACATAGAAGGACTGACTTGGCATTAGTAGTGATAGTTTGGATTTCACTCCGTATACTGAGTGGTAAAAGTCTGTTTTGCCTTCCTGCTCCTGACTGGCTTTAACATGTTCATCCGTACCGTCTGTATTTGAAAAGATGCTGCCTAGATAGGTGATACAAGTGACTTCCTTGCAATTTGTCTTGTTGATAGTGATTGTTGCTTGTAGTTGGTCAGGGTACCCTCATCATCTTTGTCTTCTCTATGTCTACCTAAAGTCTTATCTTTGCTACACTTCCTACCAACTTGTTGGTTTTCACCTGTGGATCTGTAAATTTGTGCAACATTCGTCATAAATTATCGACGGAGTTCAGATCTTCTACAGTCATATTGTCAGTTCAGTGTTTGCTTGTCTGTATCTGTTTATTTGTAATTAGTCTTCATCATTTTTTTTTGATAGTCTTGTATATATTCTCATAAATTTCATTTTATTTTTTCATCCTCTTTATAGACTCTCTATTGAGAGTGTGTATGATTCCATGGAATATTTTTCTGGGACACTTAATATTCGAATATTTGAAGCAGCTGAATTAAAACCGACAGCTTGTGCTACACGACATGCAGTTGGACCAGCTGCAAAATTATATGAACTATTAGATCCTTACGTAACAATCGATGTTGATGATATTGCTATTGGTAAAAGTTCTACAAAATCACGAACGAATGTACCCCAGTGGAATGAAGATATCTGCGCAGAAGTTAGTTATGCACAACAGCTTACATTTACTGTCTATCATGATGCGGCTATCCCACCGGATGATTTTGTCGCCATCGTTGAATTGGCTATACGTAATGTACGATCTGGTGAAGATATGTGGCTTGAGCTGGAACCTCAGGGAAAGTTGCATATACGTATTGACTTAGCCGGTACAAGAACAGATGAACCGCCTAGAGATCGTCCAGGATTTCCTGGCAGGGATAGTGCTATTGGTGGGGTGCACGGAAAGCATTATCGATGTGGTGCACTACGTCGAAGAATTCATCAAGCTAAAGGGCATAAATTTCAAGTGACAAGTCTACGTCAATTCACTTTTTGTTCATTATGCAATGGTTTTATTTGGGGTTTATGGAATCAAGGCTATCAGTGTCAAGTGTGCACATGTGTTGTACACAAACGTTGTTATTTAAATGTAATCACCCAGTGTCCTGGTGTTAAATCACCGCCAAGTTGTCCAACAGCTGCTCTACAAGTAAGTTAACTTATATTATTATATCTGCATACACTATTTTGTTAACTGGAATAATGTAGACAGTTATATATACGTAAATAAATAATTGGAAATGACACATAGTGCAAAGATATACTCAGATGTCCGAGTGACTGTCTGGTTTCAACACAGAACTTTGCACAGTAGTGCAGCAGTTCAAGTTACCACTCTCCATGTGGCACACAAAAGAAGACAAGAGAGAAAACAAGAGATTCGAAAGAACCATGATAATAAGCAGAAATGAGAGGTAAAAAAGAATATTGACATGAAAGAGCATGAGGGTTTAATCGGTATGGAAAATCACAAAGAGTGAATGCATCTGCACCATTGTGGAACGATTTTAAGCCATAACAGCAAATATTTCCAGACATTGGTTCTTAGCATTCTGAAGACCCCAAGCAGGTAGTTTACACCTCAAACTAAGCGTCAAAGACTTGGTCGACTGGTGTCGGTTTTTGGTTTGACTGCCCCTAACTGTTTTCCCATCTAATCCTATGTCAGCTGATGTTATCCACGCAGAAAGGCAATACCTTGGCATGCGTAACACATATCCTAGACATCTCAATCGATGTAACCTCAGAACCTCATTGGTTGACTTTTCCTCCTTACCTAACACTCGACGTCTAACCTCAATATTACTCAGCATATTATAGATCAAATGGTGATGTTATAGGACTAGACTACACTGACTCATAGTTTAGAAATAGGGAGTGAAGTGGTAGAGCACGTTGACCGCTTCATTTATTTGGGAAGTACCATCAGCTCCAACGTGTTGATCTCTGATGAAATCTCAGCACGGATACAGAGGGCTAGTTTCGAAAATGCCAGTTTACTTCCGTCTCTGATGTAGACATGATATCCGGCTATCGACCGAAAGGCGTGTATACTGCTCAGCAGTCCGCTCCGTCCTCCTTTGTGGCTGTGAGACCTGACCATTGAAGGTGGTAGATATGAAAAGACTAGCTGTCTTCGATTATAGGTGTCTGCGTTCTATCTCCCGTGTGAAGTGGTATAATAAGGTGAGCAACATTGAGGTTAAGCTTCGGTCGAGTGGTAGGTAAGGAGGGGAAATCAATCGACGAGGATGTGAAGCTACACCGACTGAGATGGTTAGGGCATGTGTTACGTATACCTAGTCATCGCCTTCCTCGACGGGCAATGTTAGCTGACATAGGATCAGGCTTGAAAAGAGCTAGCGGTGGTCAAACGAAAACATGGCACCAGTCAATGAAATCCACAACAGTTAGCTTAAGCCGGTCACGTAGGAAGGTGTAGACCTCCTTGTTGGAGTCCGGGGGACGGTAAAAACCAATGGTTGGAAACAATTGGTGACATGGCTCAAAATCGTTCTCAGTGATGGCGCAGATGCATCCACTCCTTGTGACTTATAACATCCAATGAAACTCTATTGTTCTTCGTTACTACTATTCCTTTTGTCTCATATCCCTGTTTACTGTCTCTATTTCTAATTTCTTCTCTTGCTTTGTGTGCTACAAGGAGGGAGTGTGGCGACTTGAACTGCCGCACATCGGTGCAAAGTTCTATATTGAAAACAGACAGAACAGGCAGACATATCAAGTGGAGACACCTATCATCGAAGATAGCCAGCCTTTTCATGCTTTTTACTCCCAGTGACCATGTCTCGTGGTCATAAAGGGGAATGGAGCAAATTCACTAATTTAAGTCGATAAACGATTCTTCAAAGCCATAAATTCATACCTTGTTAAGTAAATTAAACACTGAATAATTAAATTGTGACAGAGGGTGTGAAAACTAAAAGTGTGAACTGTCAGTTATGCTGCGTTGGTGGTTCAGTGGCATATTTCTCGTCAGCCAACCACATGGTCTGTGGTTCGATTCCCGGTTGATGCACATCTTACCTCTTATCTCGTTTACTAGCTGACAGAGTAAGTCCGCAATGGAGGGAAGGTTGGATGTCAGGCTAACTCTGTGTTTATTTCATATTATCTTAAAATCTAAAAATCTTTCGCATCTATTCTTGTAGTAAGTTTTTAAGAAATACTGAGTTACTTTGGAGGCTAGACATGCACGTAATACATGTCCCTAGCCATCTCAATCGATGTGGCTTCACAATCCCATCGACTAACCCTTTTTTACCTAGCACTCTAAGCTTGGCCTCAATGTTGCTATGTTATACCACTTAGCATGGAAAATAGAATGCAAACGACTTTAGTCAAAGGCAGGTAGCCTCTTCCTATCTTCCACTTTCAATGGCCATGATTTTGACGGACATAAGCAAGGACAGGGATAACAGGTGCGCATTGCACTCTTCCTTTTGATTGATGACCGGATATCAAGTCTACTCCAGAGACGACGTTAATTGGGGAATATATCAGAGGAACCTTTTGTATCCATGCTATGATTTCGTCAGTAATCAGTCCGTTAGGACTGACGCAACTTCCCAAATAAGTAAAGTGGTCAACACGCCCAAATACCTCACCTGGCATCTTTAAACTGGGATTCGATGCAGACGAGCCGCTTACATTTGACAGGGGGGGGGATAGTATTCGATGACATAACAACAGGCAACCTTTAAAAATAATTGCTTCGGGAAGAAATAATTAAAACGTGCCTGTATCCTCTCGTTTTAGTCTGCACGTTGAAATCAATATCGAAGTATAGTGTGCATTACAGCTTTGTACATGGTTCTATATGCTCGACTTCCAAGCAAATTGGTCACGGGTGGTCCAAACCTTGCTCTACCTAGTGGGGATTCGACAACCAGGTGGTAGAACTATTATCAGCCTTCACACACACACACCACCACCATCATCGGTATGTGTTATTAACAACCGCATGAAAATGCAAACAGTCGGTTGTTGAGTAATATTTCCACAGTTGTATATGAATGAATTATTGTTGTTTTCTGAGACCAAATAGCCCAGTGGCAATACCTCTAACTATGACGCTATGTGACTTGGGTTCAAATCTCATTGGGGACACCAGTTCCTTCGATGTTGCATATAAACTTTGCGTACGTGTCTCACTGGCTTAAGCATTCGACTTTCAACCAATGGGCCACAAGTTTGAATCCTACTCCACCTATTTCAGCTTAGACAACTGGTTACTATCATTAATCGTCACACACAATAAATTTGGCTTATAGCCCGGCGCATAAACGACCTGGTATGTCCTACGGTAGATTGACTTTGGTCTTCCTCTCGAAATGCTGTCATGTAACCACGCGTTCATAGCTTCTACCAGTCAAGTCCTATTCATTAGCTTCATGTGGCGACGGGTGTTCCGTATAAAAGTGAAAGAGCGAATGATCTCATCTGGTGCGTATAACTGGACTGGTAGACATGCTGGTCTACCTAGGGCAGCTGGAAAATCCTGATCCCGAACCTATGGTGCAAATGTACTCCAGAATTCGAAAGGATCGAGTGGCGTATGAACCTGTTTTGATCACTGCAAACCATGGAAACGCAACTCTACTGCCTTGTGGATAAGAATTTAAGTCAAAGGTTCGGAGGGGGGTGGCTCTTTAAAGCAACTACTTGCTTCGTTCTGTGCGTCTGAGCGGTATCCAAGTCTTCACACAAATTATGAGATTTTGTGTGGTGTAATAAGATTGTGTTTTAACAGTAGTAATGATTAGTCTGAGATATATGGAAGATCTTTTTCTGGGGACTTTTTTACTGCTCACTTTGAACTGTTTCTTCTCTTTTCCTCTTGTCTATTCACAGAGTCGCTTCAATATTAATGTTCCGCATAAATTTCGAATACATACATTTATGCTGCCAGCATTTTGTGATCATTGTGGTTCACTATTATTTGGTTTAATGCGACAAGGATTACAATGTGAAGTATGCCGTTTAAATATACATAAAAGATGTGAAAAAAATGTTGCATCACATTGTGGTGTAAATACACGCAATCTTGTCGCAGCTATACGCTTGTGCGGACTGAATCCATCCGATCTTGGTGTAAGTCCATCGGGTGCAACTACACTGACAACAACGACAACATCAACAGCGGGGGCGGCGGCTGCAACAACTATTGGTCCAAGTCGTACTGCAAGCACTACTATTTCATCTTCGATTCGTCCTATATCAGCTGGTTCACGTGGTATTGGTGGACCGTTTGGTGCGTATGGAGTTGGTGGTGGTGGTGGTGGTGGGGATGTTGGCTATCCAACTCCGCCTACACCTTTAAAACCGAGTAAAGGTGATACTGGTTTTTCTAGGTAAGTCATAAGCCAACCTGCAATAAACAATGTTTAAAGTCTCTTACCATTTCACTAACTTCCGTTTTTTCTTGTCTTTGTTGAACGGTACTTGCTAAAGGTCATCCTCTGATGATTCCTTCATTTTGTTTTTCATTCCTTTCTGTCCTGAGTGGGACATAGGCCTTCAAGCTCTGAAATTCCAGTAGCCATTGGTGTTGTTTTTCTTTTCACGGGATGAGGTTACTAGCCTCACATGCCCAACCTCCCCTCTTTTCCGTGCTTACGACCTACCTGCCTTTTGGCTGTTGAAACGGTTGGCACGGCTGTTTCAGTCTTGATGGGTATAACACCACTTACTGGGGATTCAGATACATCTAGCTAGTCAGTCGAGTTCCGGATAGGACAAAATGTACGTCCTAGAGATTCCCCTGCTGCTAACCGTTATCAATCAAATAATACCAAATTAATGTGAAAACACCGTTGAAGCTTCCATACGTGTAGAAACCTACAAGTCAGTGACGTCTAAAGCATTTCGGTTCAGTGAATTAAATCAACCGAAAATTCGGAATAATTTCAACAAATAGGTAATCTTGGCAATACATGTATTATTGGTCGGATATTTATGTTGTTTGCGTTGCTCTGTGGTAATGCCATATGTCCACTGGTTGACAATATAAATTTCAGCGAAACCTTTGAAGTGAAGAGTGTCGATGGCTTAGCGGTGGAATGCTTGCGAATCATGCATATGTAGTCCAGGGTTCGATCCCCGACCGACGCACTCCTCTACCTCTCTAAGCTAGTAATAAGACCGGTAAAGAGGAAAGGTTAGGCGTGAGGCCAGCGACCGCACCTCGTAAAAATAAAATACCACTGCTACAGAAACTTTGAGGCTGTAGCTTGAAGCCCCATATCCCACTGGGGGAACGTAAAGGAATAAAATAAATAAATAAATTCGAAGTAAAGACAGGAGTAACAGAGGGCTGCCTAATTATCACGGACAACATTCGTGATTGTGGGCGGAGTTGATGAGAAGACATGAACACGTTGAACCGATGAGGAGATACTGAGAGATCTGGACTTCACAGATGGTTTATGTCAAATGTCATACAAACTTGAAAATCTACTGGGAAAAACCAACAAGTTAGCATGAAAGGCAGTGAAGACAGGAGTTCAGGTGAACATAGAGAAGAAGACAGAAGTGAAGTTATATCTAACCAACAACACCAGTCACTATCAGCGGGAGAAATTTGAAGGAGATCAGCTCTTTCACTTATTTAGGCGACACAGATAAGGATGGCAAAGGTAGGATATGAAAGGCCAGTCAGACCTTCATTATTACTGTAAAATCAGCTTGAGAATCTGTTGAACTCAGCATAAGGAACGAGATGCAGGCATTCAACACGAATGTCAAATCAGTTAGTGCTTATATCTGGTTCAAAGACTTGACGTGTGCATCACGAATAGCCTTTCCAACAGACTACTACTGCTGCTGCTGACGACTTTCATCAGCAACTGTGCCCTCTTCACTGCATTCGGGGGTGGGGGATCAGATGGTCGACCAGAAAGGATTAGCAATGAGAATAACTCTGGAAATGAACCAACCTAAAACTCATTGCCCAACAACAGATATGCGGAAGGAGATGGAGATGAATGTATATACGCTAAGAGGAGACCCTTGAGTAGTAACATTACGATGTACCAGTCCCCCTCGATAACGACAACGAGTTGGGCGTCAGTCTGAGTGTGACGTGGCGGAGATCATATGAGGGGGGGAGCCAGTCAGGTTAAGAGGATTTCAGGGAACAGAGTGAAATGGAGATGTGCTATTGAAACCCCGTGTGTTGCACTCTGTGAATCCAAGGGAACAATAATAGGTACTGATATTTGTGTATTTGCTGCTACTATGTAACCTTTCATGCACCACAATATTTCATACAATATACTCAATTATTGTTTTTCTCTCTTTTCAGTGCTTCACACATTGGAATAGCTCCACATGAACGATCATTAAGTTCGCCTATTTCGCTGCCAACTGCTGATTTATCTAGTCGTGGTGGTAGTGCTACTGGTGGATTAGGCGTCGGCGGTGTTAGCTTCGAGGCAGATGAATCAAGTAGATATGCAACATTAGATCCGGTTACTGGAAGTGGTTTAATGAGTACTGTAGGCCCAGTCGCTGGACGACATGGGATGCCAGCTCAAAGACCATCTTCATTACAAGTATGATATTAGTATTTATTTTATCCTTGTTTTTGATTTTTCTCATCTTTTCATTATACCGAAAACAAGAGTTCAACAGTTATGTGTCCACAAACTGACATCAGCTAGAGGACTGTTGAAAGCTGTCCTAATTTCAGACTCTTCAACAGTACTCAACGACAATCGAATCCAGGGGGTTTCAGTTACGAGCGAGAGTAGGTTAATAAGTCAGCCAGTGGTCCCTGAATGAAGTCACGGAACCCTTCGAAGTGGGGACAGGAGTAAGACAAGGTTGCCTACTATCACCAATGATTTTCTTGATTGCAGTAGGCTGGATAATGCGACAAACAGTGGGCAATGAGGAAACAGGCATAAAATGGACTCACAAAAAAAACTTGGAGGATCTGGACTTCGCCGATGATATATGTCTGATTTCCCACAAACTGGAAGATATGCAAGCGAAAAGCAACAAGTTGGCAGAAGAAGCATCAAAGATAGGACTTTCTTCAGGTGAACATAGAGAAGACAGAGGTGATGAAGATTCCCGGGCAACACCACCAACAGCAACAACAACAGACAACAATCTGCATAAATGGAAGGAACCTGAAAGAAACAACCTCCTTTACCCACCTACCTGGGAAGCATCATTTCAACTACAGGCGGAACTGACGAGGATATCAAAGCAAGAGTGGGGAAAGCAAGACAAGCTTTCACTACTCTCAAGTCTGTGTGGAGGTCAACAGCACTCAGCATCAAAGCGAAGATAAGATCCGGATTTTCAATTCCAATGTGAAGTCAGCGCTACTATACGGATCAGAGACTTGCACTGCGCGTCATAAAAAGCATCTCAAACAAACTACAGACCTTCATTAACAGTTGTCTTCGCTCAATACCACTCAAGATCAGATGGCCGTCCAGAAAAGATCAGCAACAGAGATCTCTGGAAATGAGCAAAGCAACACAGCAGGAACCGATTGTGAAAGAAATAGGCAGGAAGAAATGGATATGGATTGGTTGGTCATACTCTGAGGAAACCATCAAGTGACATGATTAGACAAGCCATTGCTCGAGTGGAACCCGAAAGGGAAGCGGCGAGTTGGTCGTCAGTGCAAGGGTGACTTGGAGGAGGTGATGTGAAGAGGAGATGAAGACGTGCGGGCAGACATGGAGCCAGGTGAAGACTGTAGCAGAGAACCGAACTTAATGGACACGCATGGCTGAAGCCCTACCTTCCTCTAGGAATTAAAGTATACAATAATAATAATATAAATAATATCCTCTACTGGTTGATTATCCATTGTCTTTCCCAAATAGAACGTAGTACTTCGAGCATTGAGCTTTAAATGAAACTATATACTACTGAATTGACTGAGGTGAGTAGTTGCATACTACTCATATCCGTCAGTAGTACCTGGTAGCCAGCGAGATTGAGGTGATCTGGACACCGGACAGCTATTTCGCTTGTTTGAGGTCAAAGTCATCAGTGATGTCACCCGGTTTGACTCAGTTCAAAGAGCCGAGTGAGTTCGAGCCATCCGATTTCTGGTTAGCAAGCACTAGAACCGGTTGATAAGAGTAGGTGGCATTTTTTTTAAACACAAAGTGCTTGGTACAATATGGTACCAAGAAGATGCACCACACAATAATAATAAAACAACATAGATTAAAAGTAAAAATGTGTAGGTGTAGAGAAGGGATAAAGTACTTCATTTGGGAGGAAAACAGTCATATTTAACAAGTTTAAACAGCATTCGTCAATTATTGTCAGAAAGAGGAGAGAGAGAGAGAAGGAAATTAAAGCACGTTCGCCATTGATAATTGCCATTCTTGGCCATATCCGTTAACGTTTCGAGCTACCGATTAGTGCTATCTCCCGGACTCCAACTAGGGAGTCGTGATGCACCAAATGATGCCAACCTAACACAAATATCCTTCATCCCACGACGCCACTTTATGGGTTGACGACCTCTCCGCATTTTCCATCCCGTCCCAAGGCCGGCTACCAAACAGAGACCGGTAGGAAGTGCCACTGGTACCACATCGGTAGCACATGTCCAAGCTACCGGACGCCACCAGACCTCAGAATTACTCACACGATGATGCCATTGAACGCAAGCAATCCTATAGAGACAACGATGGTAGGATATGCAGAGTCGCCACACACGCCCTCAGCTCGGAGAGGCCAAATTTCACAGGTGTGTGGAGAGCAGGACTACGTGCGCCGAAGCATTATAAACCCGACCTTTGACAGCCGAACTAACGTCGCGATGACGCCAGTGAGTGGCATACAACTACTCAATCTCAATCAATCAATCAGTAGTAGTATATAGTTCCACTCAGTTTCCCTTGTTTTCTTGATTGATATCTAGCCGATCATGTATTGGGTGTGTGATCTGAATGATTTCAGTTTCCAAAGGAAACTGTGTGGTGGTGGTGAAATATTCGGCAAAGTTAAACTTTAAGTACCACTAACTACCACCAATCAGCGAATGACCCTGAAAGCAACAATCATGTGAATGAAGCATTTTTGAGTATGGAATACATAAAATCTGTAGAAAAGTGTTGCAGAGGATACCTTGCTCTCATATGTGATAAAACTAGCTCTCAGTTTTAGGTTGGAGTATCAACAGAGTATAATTCCATTGTGGGTAAAATTTATTTTACTAAGTCTCATAGTGTTATACAGTAATATTTACTGAGCAATAAATTGTGCTCGAAACGTCGTCATCAGTAAATTACTACTGTATAACACTGTGTGAGACTTTACCAGAACAAATTTTACCCAAAAATTCTTATATCAACAGAGTAATTTAACCAAATTCTATGCATATAATTATCATAGGTCTTGTAACCCTAACAAGCACCCTAATCTTTCCTGAACCTAACCCTAACGTGAAAATATCCCCAAATCTAACCCTAATCTAACTCGGACCAACCCTAATGTCACTTGTGATAAGTTAATCCTCCTTGGCCTTAATCGTAACATAATCTTCCCCAAACCTAAGCTGAAACTTGCCAGATATCCCACTTAATAGCATAGCACATCGATCAGCATATTTTATTATTGATGACGTCATTACTTGCCAGGTTCCACTAACTTGCTCAGTGAGCATTTCAAGGTCATTGATGAGATCGCACTCCATTGGTCGTTAGTTAGTGGTGCTTAAAGTTTAACTTGGCCAAATATTCACGCCGAACTTTATACATGGTAAATCGCGAATTAGATTTATTTCGCTTTGAAGTTTCAATAGCGATAGTGATGGGTTTTGTTTTACTACTGATTGTGGTTTTTCTAGCCTCACATTGAACCTTCCTTCTTCTTACCTGGCCTACTTACTACTATCGGCTAAGCGAGGTTTGAAGAGTGTGTGTCAGTCGGGAATCGAACCCGTAGCCACGTGTGTGGTTGGCGAACATTCTGCCTGGTTGACGCACCAACTGTGGTTGGTAAAATATCTTTATTTTTCTTTCAATGAAAAAGACTGCAAATCTAATTTTCGTTTGTTTGTGTTTTTTTTGTACCATTATAGGATCCTCCTGATGTTTATGGTTGTACAACAGCAACAACAATAGGTCCACGTATCCCATGTTTGAATGATTTTACATTTCTTAAAGTATTAGGCAAAGGTAGTTTTGGTAAAGTTATGTTAGCTGAATATAAAACAACTGGTGAAGTATTCGCTGTGAAAGTGTTGAAAAAAGAGGTCATCTTACAAGATGAAGATGTTGATTGCACACTGACAGAGAGACGTATTCTTGTCCTGGCTGTACATCATCCATTTTTAACTGCATTATATTGTGCATTTCAAACTGAGGTAAGATAGATTATTATTCGTTTATTTTTGTATTTGTTGTTGTTGTTGTGTAATGCAATTTTTGACTGTGAGTGGGGTTTCAAACCGACGTCATCACTCTCTCCCCCCTCCCCCAGTGTACTTCCCGCGGTAGAGTCGCTAGCCCTAGACGCAAAACCCTCCCCCTTTTCCCGGGCTTTGGATCGGCTGGTAAACTAGGAATTCAGCATAAAGAACAAGATTCAAATTTTCAACTCCAATATGAAGTCATATAAAAGTTTATAAAAATAAACTTTTGCAATTTCTTTATCCACTAGGTTCTCGACATGCGACATATATATATATATATATATATATTTCAGCTAACAATGGACCTAGGGGGCTTCCCATGGCAACACCATCGATCTGGCGATAATGCTCGCCCTCGAATGTAAACTTAGCATTCTTAGTACAAAGAAGCAGTAACTCTTTTAAGTAGGAAATGGATACTGGTAATAGGAAATCATTGTCAGAGATGTAATCGCATAAAATGTCAACCGTCTGTAAAAGAGGTACATTCGTAAATAAAGATTCAACATCTAGGGAAAACATCGTTTTGTCCTTTATATCAACGTTATCAAGACAATCAATTAATCTATTATTCCAAACACATGACCGAATCTTCGAAAAATGTCGTGTAATGAGTCTGGTTGATGAATCAAGCTTAGTTGCAGAAGCTATTAATAACCGGTTCGTCACTGGGACAGAAACACATAGAGGTGGGGCTCCCCACAGGTCTCCCGTTGATCCGCTTGTAGCAGCCAGTCTCAGAGGTACGCCATTTGATAGTTGAAGAAAATGACTAGTGAGGACGTCCAGAATAACATTACTAAAATGTACTGGACGAGGTAGAGGAATTTTCGTAGGTCCTTCGAAATCCCCCGGACCGGATGTCCATATTCGAAGACTATGTCGTGGTGATTCAGAAACACCCCATGAGATCAAATGCAATCCATCGGGTGAAAATGTGAGGCCAATTACAGGTCCAGTATATGCAGATGCTTCAGGAGAATAGGCTAAATTACTTTGTGAACCTCTTTCCTTGTCCAATGAATACACTGGTTTCAGTGGGAACCTGATATCCCAGTACAATATTTTTCCGTCTCGCCCTCCTGTCACAAGTGTGTAGCTGGCTCTGGTAGACCAAACAACTTGCGTCAAACCCAACTGAGAATGACCTCCAAGTAATGTAGAAACTGTGGAACCGACACGTGGATCCACTAAAACTGCCAGACTGCTATGTTCACCACTACAGGTCCCATGACTAATCGCAATAAGATTGTGATAACATGAAACAGGCGACATGGATAGCCACGTCAAACTTTGAGGGAAATGATTTGATGTAACACGCTCAAGGCGTACAGTGTCCCAAATTCCAAGGACCTTGTCAAGTGATGCCGAAACAAATGCCCCACTGTCAACGGGGTACCACTGCACACACATAATAGGGGAGTGTTTGATTGCCAAATTCATGCTCTCTTGACAAGGACTATTTCGCAGTGATGCAGCCGATTTGTGAAGTACTGAATCGGCGCACCCCAAATAAGGATTCTCAACGTCAAATATGCGCATAAAACCATCCTTGGTAGTAACGAGTAATAGACGGGACTCGACAGTATCTAAGGCCATATCACATAAGCAGATTTTAGATTCAAAGTCAAACTGAATACGAGGATCAACATCAACTTCCTGAATTCTGTTCCATAAGTAAGTGCTCCGATACTTGTACACCAATAGGTCTAAATTCAGCATTTTTGATCGACGACATATCGTATGCATGGATGAGGATTAAGACCTATTGGTGTACAAGTATCGGAGCACTTACTTATGGAACAGAATTCAGGAAGTTGATGTTGATCCTCGTATTCAGTTTGACTTTGAATCTAAAATCTGCTTATGTGATATGGCCTTAGATACATACCGTCGAGTCCCGTCTATTACTCGTTACTACCAAGGATGGTTTTATGCGCATATTTGACGTTGAGAATCCTTATTTGGGGTGCGCCGATTCAGTACTTCACAAATCGGCTGCATCACTGCGAAATAGTCCTTGTCAAGAGAGCATGAATTTGGCAATCAAACACTCCCCTATTATGTGTGTGCAGTGGTACCCCGTTGACAGTGGGGCATTTGTTTCGGCATCACTTGACAAGGTCCTTGGAATTTGGGACACTGTACGCCTTGAGCGTGTTACATCAAATCATTTCCCTCAAAGTTTGACGTGGCTATCCATGTCGCCTGTTTCATGTTATCACAATCTTATTGCGATTAGTCATGGGACCTGTAGTGGTGAACATAGCAGTCTGGCAGTTTTAGTGGATCCACGTGTCGGTTCCACAGTTTCTACATTACTTGGAGGTCATTCTCAGTTGGGTTTGACGCAAGTTGTTTGGTCTACCAGAGCCAGCTACACACTTGTGACAGGAGGGCGAGACGGAAAAATATTGTACTGGGATATCAGGTTCCCACTGAAACCAGTGTATTCATTGGACAAGGAAAGAGGTTCACAAAGTAATTTAGCCTATTCTCCTGAAGCATCTGCATATACTGGACCTGTAATTGGCCTCACATTTTCACCCGATGGATTGCATTTGATCTCATGGGGTGTTTCTGAATCACCACGACATAGTCTTCGAATATGGACATCCGGTCCGGGGGATTTCGAAGGACCTACGAAAATTCCTCTACCTCGTCCAGTACATTTTAGTAATGTTATTCTGGACGTCCTCACTAGTCATTTTCTTCAACTATCAAATGGCGTACCTCTGAGACTGGCTGCTACAAGCGGATCAACGGGAGACCTGTGGGGAGCCCCACCTCTATGTGTTTCTGTCCCAGTGACGAACCGGTTATTAATAGCTTCTGCAACTAAGCTTGATTCATCAACCAGACTCATTACACGACATTTTTCGAAGATTCGGTCATGTGTTTGGAATAATAGATTAATTGATTGTCTTGATAACGTTGATATAAAGGACAAAACGATGTTTTCCCTAGATGTTGAATCTTTATTTACGAATGTACCTCTTTTACAGACGGTTGACATTTTATGCGATTACATCTCTGACAATGATTTCCTATTACCGGTATCCATTTCCTACTTAAAAGAGTTACTGCTTCTTTGTACTAAGAATGCTAAGTTTACATTCGAGGGCGAGCATTGTCGCCAGATCGATGGTGTTGCCATGGGAAGCCCCCTAGGTCCATTGTTAGCTGAAATATATATATATATATGTCGCATGTCGAGAACCTAGTGGATAAAGAAATTGCAAAAGTTTATTTTTATAAAAGATATGTAGATGACATGATAGTCATTTGTTATAAATCGATAGACGCCGTAGAAATCCTGAACCGAATCAATAGATCACAAAAGAGTATATCACTAACATACGTTAAAGAGAATAATGGATGCCTGCCATTTTTAGATGTACTAATAACCCGCCGAGAAGATGGGTCAGTAAAACGATCTGTCGAGAGAAAGTCCACATGGACGGGACAGTACCTAAATTATCATAGTTTCTGTCCACTACAGTATAAGAAGGCGTCGGTTAAATTTTTGTTTAGGCACATTCACCGTATATGTACTGCCGATACAATTGAAGAAGAAAGACAACACCTCACTGAAATATTGTTAGACAACAATTACCCACTGAGATTTATTAGACGTTATGGAAGTGTCAACCATAGAGCTTTACCAATCCAATCAGCTCCCAAAAAGGATGTTTACATATCCTTACCGTTCAGAGGTGATCAACAAAGTTTAGTCACTAGACAGAGACTAAAGGCCGCAATCAATAGAACCTATTATGCAGTTAAACTTATCTTCATAGAGAAAACGAGGACTATGCTGTTTTGTAAACCCTCACATCATCCGAACGATAGTGTCACATCCCACTGTGTTTATCAGTTTACATGTATGTGTGGAGACACGTACATAGGGAGGACCCATCGGTCTCTGCAGGTTAGGGCTACAGAGCACATTCCAAAGTGGCTGCAGCAACAAATGAAATCACCAGACACAATTGAACCCGGAAATAGATGTCCAACATCATCTATAGCCAAGCATATTATAGAGACGGGTCATAAGGTTGATTTCACCAGTGCCTTTAAGCCGATATTTAAAACAAAATTGGGCCACATACTTAAATTCATTGAAGCCTTAGCCATAAAAAAACTTAAACCTGTCTTATGTGTCCAAAAATTATTTCTTATCACCTTAAACCTGCCTTGGTAAATCAATGTAGAACCAAGGACTAATTTACTTCGTAATATTTGAAGAGAGAGAGAATGAACATGTTTGCAGGATAATACGAGCTCATTTTATTTCGTGGATTCTCATCAACTGCATACATCCTAAACAAAATCAAATTATAAGTTTAAAAAATGTTTGGAACATACTTTTTCATAATTACTTTGAGTTATAGATAGAAGGCATAAGGAACATAATTCCAGAATTCGATGTAGGTAGACAGGTTATTCGGTGTCAAAAACAACTAATTATATATAGTGGAATTAGATAAGAGGGGTAAGAGTCCAGATTTCTATTGGAAAACAACACAGATTGGTTGGAGGCATATTACAGGGTCAGGGTCAGAGAACAGAGTAAATTTACACATCTTGTGGTGGAGAGTTTAAGAGGGTGGGGGTGAATAGTGAAGTAACATTTATAACTTAAACAGACAAACAATTAAGTAGGTTTAGAAACTTGAAGGTCAAAATTGAATAGAATGTTACGTAACAAGACAAACACACAGGCATACTGACAGAAAGGCAAAACAAAAATAAAATAAAATAGAGTTAGGTTTCTTTGTGTATTGATTATTTTGAAGGCTTGGCTAATTTCTACTGTGTCCTGTGTCAATTAAATGTCTGGCGATTGCACTTGATAACACTTTTCTTCCTTTTGTACGGAGACTCTTAGGAATGTGCTCAGAAAATCTAGTAGATGCTGTCCTCTCAGTCCTTCCTATGTACTTGCTTCC